GGAACTCCAGGAATGTCAAAAGTAAGGCCTTGGGGATGAGGTGTGGTTGGAACTGCTGGCGAGAGTAAACTGGGCTTCCCTCTTTTTGGCAAAGGGAAACTGGGGTCTCCTCTTTCAGTATCCTGAATTGGGCTTGAGAAATAGTAATAGCAGGCAGGGTGTTTGCCTTGCACGTGGTTGACATGGGTTCAGTTTCCAGCACCACATATTCCCTGAGTCCTTCCAGGAGTGATCCCTGAGCACAGAGCCAGGAGTAAGCCCTGAGCACTGCCAGGTGTGACCCCAAAACCAAGAAAAAGAGAGATGGTGGTTTGAGGTGGAACCAGCAATTACAAGTTGGTAGAATGGGTGAGGTAATAGGGGGTGAAAGGGTTCCCGCCCTTCACACTGTACCTGCTGTTGGGAGCTGTGGGAGGTTGAGTTACACCTATGTCTGTGCTCAGGAATGGCTTGGGATTGAATCTGGATTTACCACATGCAGGGAGCCTTTGCCCGCTGTACTTGCTGGGTCATGCACCTGGAGAAGCTGGGAGCTTGTGGATCCAGAGGGGAAGAAAACAGGTGAGCAAGCCAAGCCTGGGTGGGCCAACCCTGGACCAAAGGCGCTGTCTTGGTGCTGGGAGGGTCGCTGGGAGGGGAGCGTGCGCATGGGAGCTGGGAGAATGCTTGTCCACAGCCCCTGTGCTTGTCGAACGGCCAGTGGATAGCACGAGGTGTAGTTAGTTGAGGTCCATAGCAGGTGACTATCTGGTACTAGTTTGTCCCTGGCCAGGGTAAGAGACGGGAATGTGACTGTTTGTCTTAGAGGAGATTCCTCCAATCCAACCTTCCTAGTAGCCCTCCACCAGGGAGCACCGCCCACTCTGGCCACAGCCACGCCAAGCACCCGGGAGCTGAGAAAAGACTCAGCACAAAAACAAAGGCACAGTGTCAGGAATGAAGTCCCAGAGCCCACGGGCACAAGCATTTAAAGAAAAAAAAATAAAAAGGATGGACTCAGAGGATGGATGATGGTGACACATTCCCACAGATTTACATTTGAGTAGTGGGGACATTTTCTGGAGCAGATAGGCCCTAGCACCCTAAAGTCTGACTAATCATTTCATTTGCTCTTCCAGTCATTTGCTCTCAAAGTTGAGCTTGGAGGGGCCTGTGGGTGACCCCAATACCTGATGTAGAATAGAATACTGAGCTGGAGAATAGGAGAATAATCCAGAGCTGCTCGCCTCACAGATGATTGAGTTGTACTAAAAGAAAGTGGGAGAGGGAGGGAAGTACCGCAGATCCAAGGAATTTACTTTTCCTTCCAACATTCCTTTTAGCCATCCAAGTAACTCAGATTCCCGCTTTATCCTTGCTAGTATTTTTAAATTCTACCACTGTTCATAAAAGTGAAAGAAAAAATCAACAGGTTTTATGTCTTTATTTTCATTCCACCTCAATAGTGAGTTACTGTCAGCTGAAAGAGGCTGGAGTTCAGACATCCTTGGAATTGCCCAGGATGGACAGACAAATAACGTTGAGCTCATCCTGAACACAGAATAAATGTTTGCTATTTGAATGTTGTTACTGTATTCTTTACAAGTATCTCTATTTCTTTCTTTTTTAAAAAAATCTCTATATATTTCTTTAAAAATATACAAAATTGTACATTTGGAGGGGCCCAGTTAGAATTTCAGAAAATGTCTTCTTTAATGACATTTTGCAATAAAACCAAAACAAAGTGAAGAGAGTAATACAAGATGGTGTGTCACAAATTTGGGTTGTTATCCCAAGCACAGGCATCTTCCCGAGGATACTATACTTCTCGGTTGTATTTTCAGTAGTACAGAATCTAAGGTTTATTTTATGTTTTTGGTTTTGGGCCACATATTTAGGGCTTACTCCTGGCTCTGCACTCAGGAATCAATCCTGACGGGACTTTGGGGGAACATACAAGGTTCCAGGGATTGAACCCCAAGCCAGCCGCATGAAAGGCTAATGCCTTAACCCCTGTACTATCTTTCTGGCCCCAGAAACTAGTGTTTAAGGAAAATAGTGTTGTTACAGACCAAGTAACCTTTAGCAAGTTACTTAGCATCTCTTTATTCTAGGCTTCTGAAAAGGGACCAGCAATTTATGTATTTACTTATGCAGTTCTTTAGGCTTAAACTCAGAGCTTCCTCAGGCAAGTAATTTTTACCTTAAAGGACAGTGCTTAGAGAATTTAATTGCATTAAATAGAAATTTAGTGATTTGGACTTGCCTGACCAAGTACGGAAAAGTTTGGGGGCCACTCCCCTGAGGTTGCTGCAGCTGTGTTTAGGGGAGCGTGTAATGCTAGGATGCCAGTGATCAAACCAGGGCTTCATGAGCCCCTCCCTTCTGGATAATATGTTTTCTTTCTTTGATTTTTGGTTTCTAGAATTGACACCATCAGTGACCGGAAGCATGAGGAAACAAAGCAGACACCTCCATAGCCCCAGTCTGGGACTGCTGGACAACAGCTGAGCCAAGAGTGACCAGTTCCTGAACTCTGGCCTCAGCTGTGAGGGAATCAACATTGTCAGTTATAGAAAGAGTAAAATTTGGACAGTGGAACAATAAAAAAAGACAGCCCTTTGGAGGAGATACACTTGTCACAGAAAATCAAATCAAACCTTGGGGCCTCTCCATTTGACTTGTTACTAGGAGGTAGCTAGTCCTACAAAGGAATCCAGTCAGTCCTAAGAACAGGCCAGGAATGAAGGAATAAAGAGACATCATGAAAAAAGGTATCTGGCCAACTGAAACTGATTGAACCTGTGCAGAAGCTGCTCCAAGTGGCTAAGGAGGCCCTGCAGGAAGCCAAAGAGCGAGAGAGAAAGAGATAGTGCTGGTGGAAAGCACAGTGAGGAGACTAATCTAGAAAGATGGAGGGACCAAGCCCTATAGCCTGGTAACTCTTTCAACCATTCCCTTTTCTAGTGGATAAATGGATTCTCTAAACAATACCCAAGAATAGGGGCTGCAAGGTCTTTCAATTTCTACCCACCTTATATCTTCATGGATTATTTCCTAAAATTAGAGTGGCAGGCTCTCCTCCCTGAACCATCCATTTTTCTTTCCTCCTCTCCATCTTCCTTTAACCAATTGCTGGCTTTGTGTCTGTGTTTTAATATTTCTCTCATCTTAGGTTTGCCTTTTTTCTTAATTTTTTTCCTCAAGTTTTCTGAATCTTGAGATTGGATGTCTGCCATCTGTATGTGTGCATGCAGACTACCTGAGTACCTCCTGCTCTTCCAAAAGCCCATTATCTATGAGGATGTGGTAGTGGATTTCACACAGGAAGAATGGAACTATCTACATGCCAATCAAAGGGTCCTCTACTGGGAAGTCATGTCAGAGACCCATTTAGGTAAGAGACTGGGTTTCCTCTAGCAAGCCCCTTGTCATTTTATTTGTTTGGACATTTGGTTTCTCTAGACAGATCAGCTCATAATGAGATTCATAGACTATTAGTTCTGCATCTTCCAGGTGTAAAGTAAATGGGATAACAAATGAAAGCTTTCATGAGGGCAGAGATAACATTTGCAACATAACTATGTTCTCAAAATATGCAGATTTGCCTATTCAAACTTTTAAAAATCATTCCTATTACGCACTTCATTAGGAGTTGACTTTTTGGGTGTCTCCCTACATCTAAGTATGTGTGGGGGGAGGGGGGAGAGGGGGCCTGCGTGTTTTGGGCCATATCTAGCCATGCTCAAGAGTTATTCCTGGCTCTGTACTTAGGAATTACTCCTGATGATACTTGGGGACTGTATGGGATTGAACCCATGTTGGCTGTGTGCAGGGTAAGCTCCCTACCTACTATACCATCTCTCTGACCCTCAGCACACTTATATTAAACCAAGAAAAGAATATAAAGGGGACAAATATAGAACCTTAATTCTATTGCCTTCTTACTCCCAATTTTTTTTTTCTGTCTAATCTAGGTCTGATCACCAAACTTGAACTAGGAAAGGAACAGTGGTATGCAGATCTCTAGCACCAAAATGGAGACTTCCTGTGACATAAGAATTACAATGAAGAAGAAAATGAAAGGGGCCTAGGATTCATCTAATGGGAGGGATGAAACATTCCTTGAGAAGATTGGGCCTCAGGGCTGGAGCAATAGCACAGCGGGCAGGGCATTTGCCTTGCACGCGGCCGACCGGAGTTCGATTCCTAGCATCCCATATGGTCCCCTGAGTACCGCCAGGGTTAATTCCTGAGTGCAGAGCCAGGAGTAACCCCTGAGCATCGCCGGATGTGACTCAAAAAGAAAAAAGAAGAAGAAGAAGAAGATTTGGGCCTCTGAATATCCTCTCCTGACCTATATCCCTCCAACCCTGTTAGACCCATATGGAGCTTAAAATAATCTGCTTAGGTTTTTTGGCTTCAGGAAGATGATTAACTCATACAAGATAGTGAGCATTTTCATTTTCTAAGAATTGATAGATTACATGTAGATTCCTTATGCTAGTGAGACCACTATTATTTAAAAGTCCTTTTGGGTTTGGAGAGATAGTACAATGGGTAGGGCACTTGCCTTTCATGGTGAGTCCCCCACGCACTGGCAGGAGTGATTCCTGAGTATAGAGGCAGGAGTAACCCCTGAGCATCACTGGGTGTGTCCACAAAAATTTAAGGCCAGTCCTAATATACCTCCTAGTTTTCTGGGATCATCCTTATCTATACTTTTTATGCTAGCTTGATTACCAGTAGTATCATCATCTTTGATTTAAACGTCCCAATTTGCCTGCTACATAATGAGGTCTCCTATGGGTGACACACTCATCTGCAGGAGTGTGAGCAATATTGAAATGGGATTAAATAGCTATTATAAATGCAATTATAGGTTAAAATACTGGTTTCTGATATTTTTAATTAGAAAATTCTGAAGTTTAGTTTTATCTCTAACCTATGAGGTCAAAAAGTAAGAGTGAATGTGTTGGGTGGGAAGGTGTAGCTGAAAGAAGGGAAGTAGTTTAGACTAAATTGGGGAATTTAAATTGGGGTTCTCATGGGAAATCTTGTGTTATTCTTTATTCACTACAGAAGGTGAGAAGGAGGAATTTAAAGATCAGAATTGGAATCTGAGAAAGGAGAATAGTATTATGGATGACAAAGTCTCTCTTGTTTGCAGACGGACAGGCCCATCTTCCGCTCCACCTAGATCTATAGACAGGACCACAGTGTTCTTAGCATCCTGTGTTGGGCCACCCTTTACCTTCCACACCTGTGGCAGGTCTTTTAACAAAACCTCCAGCCTCAATTGTCACCGGAGTGTTCACAGTCCAAAACAGATTAACAGCTGTAGTACGTGTGGGAAGTCATTTAGAAAACCCAAGGGCCTCCACTACCATAGACATATACACCTTGGGGAGAAGCTCTTCCATTGCACACTTTGTGATAAGACCTACTGTGATACTTCGGGACTAAGTCATCACCATTGTTTCCATATTTGTATCCGGCTCCATTCATGCCCCTTCTGTGAGAAGAGATTCCGTGACCAATCTGAGCTCAGATGCCACCAGAAGACACACCCAAGCCAGGAGCCATTGGCTGGAAATCAGAAGCATATTGTAAGGATTCCAAGCACCAAAACTGGAATTCCAGTTGGGAACAAATGTCTATCTGGGGGCTTGCATCTGGAAATCATGCACCAGTGACCCGGTACCTAGATCCTGTATTTAGAACCAAGAGCCCTATGACTCAGACCCTATCTTCCTATTGGTAGGAATCAGATATTAGTGGCCAGAAACCAGGTGATCACTTTGGAAACTCAGGCAACAATTAATACAACCTCAAAACATGTGACCAAGAGTCAGGAACCCAACATTAGAACTCTCTGTTGTGATACCAGCTCTTAACTTTCACTCAGAGATTTCAAGACTCAAGCTTTACTCTTGCCTTCATTGTCCCTTGAGTTTTATCAAGAAAGCCAGTTTCTCCGGCCACCAGCAGGTCCACCTCACAGAGAAGTCATCCAGATGCTTCCTCTGTGGCAAATCCTTTAGCTCATTCTTTGGTCTGTCCAGGCACCAACAGACTCACTGGAAATAAGATCTACTGCTGCCCTATCTGTGATATCTGCTTTGGGGAGAAAGAGAGCCTTATGAGTCACTGGGAGAGTTACAAAGGCAGGGGACAATCTCAATAAGTGCTAGACAATCCTGGCTTAGAGGCTTGGCTTCCTTGTGGCAGAGAAGGAAGTGGATTTTCAAGTATCCTTACCCCCAGGAGAAGAGAAGACTGAGGAAGTGTTTAGAGGAAAGAAAGCAAGAGAGGAGGAAAGGTCTCGAAACACAAATCACATAAGTAAATGGCTTTTTGAGAATACAAGTATGAAGATGGGAGGAAAAGGATGAGGGAAAGAACATCTTGTACAGAACCTGTCTGTATAAGAAGTAGAAGGAATCCATTCTAAAACAGGACTTCTCCCACTTTTTCGTCCCTACCTCTTGTTCTTCCTGAGACAGATTGATGAGAGTTTTGGCCAGTATTTTAAAGGTTTCTCCTTAACTCTGCAGCTAACTCTTTAAGGTTTTGGACTTTATTATCACACCTCAGTATCCTATCATGACTGAGATCTTGAAAGAAATCACACCATTTAAAAGTTGGCATGCAAAAATTTGTTACAGGAAGGTTTCTGGTCTTTGTTACTTTTCAGGACAGGTGTTGCCTGATGAAGAATGTACACACTTGGCCATCAGAGCCTGAGAACATTTTCATGTGGAGAATTGAGAAAAAGAGTGGAAAGATATGGTGAGAAAGGAACCAGGGAAAAAGATAAGAAAAGGTAGATGACAGAAACCAATCTTATTCAGTTTTCAGATCATTCCTGGAAGTACATATTGGAATGTCCCAATGGTGAAGAGGTATAAGTAAGTATGCATCTCATTGATGAAACATCCCCAAGAAACAATCCTTGGGCCAGCCAGGCTCTTCATCCCATTGCAGCTTCATTCAGAAGGGATTTCCTAGAAGGAAAAAAAATGGGAATAATCTATCAATGGACCTTGAGAGCTTGTTTGGAGGTTCTAGCAGGGGAGTGCAGCTACTCGTATACCCTCGACCGAAGACCGGTCCGTCTCTATCGGGGAAGGCCGTCCTCTTCGACCGAGCGCGCAGCTTCGGGAGGGACGCACATGGAGCGGTGAGGGAGGAAGGGGACACCCACCTAGCCAGCCAGATCAGCCGAATCAACCCTGGCGATCAATAGGGTGACAGATGTCGCAGCCAGATTGCCCTCAGCAATAGCACAGCGGTAGGGTGTTTGCCTTGCACGCAGCCAACATGGCCGACCCGAGTTCGATTCCTCCGCCCCTCTCGGAGAGCCCGGCAAGCTACCGAGAGTATCTCGCCCGCATGGCAGAGCCTGGCAAGCTCCCCATGACGTATTCGACATGCCAAACACAGTAACAACAAAGTCTCCAATAGAGACGTTACTGGGCCCGCTCGAGCAAATCGATGATCAACAGGAGGGCCTTTACTTTACTTTTTTAATCTATCAATAGTTTCTATTATGAAACCATTAAACCAGGAAATGAAGAGCTTTTGGAGTCATCTTGTCTCTGTGTCTGCTCAGTAATTTTTACTGGAGTTGAAGCACAGCAATTGGCTTGTTTCTAGCTGACTGCAGCCTCCACTTCTGTCTCACCTGAATCCTCCCTTCACCCATGCTTTCCTGACCCCCTTTTATTCTGGGATTATGAGCCCTCAATATCCAAACCACTCCCTTCTCGCTGCATTTTAAATTTTTATTATTAGTCTCATATTTAAAGCCATTGTTTTTTTATTTAGCAAAAGTGAATTACTTACTTAGCTCTTCAAGAAATTGCCCTGAAAATAAGAGAAACAGTTGATAAATAGAAGTTCACTAGCTCTCTCCCCACATCCTTCCTGTGTGGTACAGTTTAACCACCCCTCTTCCACAAAGGTACCCCACAAATCATAGGATGGAAGAGTCTGGGGAACTTCCATCCTCAAGTTGACCATGGGGAGAAGAGACAGGAAACTCTGGATCTCAGAATCTGGACCCCTGGCTTCATCCTTCTGTTTTCCTATTCATGGCTGACTTGGTCCTTCATATTCTGTTTCCCCACCACTGCACCTGCAAGTCTTCGATGCAGCCAATTGTAGCAGATGATCAAGGCAACAATGGGTCCAAGTACCGGCACAATTACGAACAGGAATATCTTCCAACAGGGCACCATCAGGAAGTGGGGATCTGAATCATTCACCACAGAGTAAACAGAATTAACATGTATTCCCCATGTACCCCAACCACCCTTTTCCTTATTGAATTTCTTAGTCTATGGTCTATGGATGCTAAAAGGGACCAAGTATAGGATCCAGGAAGTTGATGAACTTTTGTGAGAACAACAGTACATCTTTGTTTTCACTAACTTAAGTTGTACAGACTTCAAAGTATTAGTATCTTGAAATGACATCATTAGACCAGTATGTTATTTTTGTTAAATATCTCCTTAACAAAACAGATCTGGAAAGATAGCTCCACAGACTGAGTGTACATTTTATACGGGGCCTCAAAACCTAGCTCTACAAGTCCCCTAATGCACAGAGCCAGTATCAGCCCCAAGCACCATCAGATGTGGTCCCCAAACAAAAAGTATCTTACAACATCAGAAATTAGCTTATGTTTTGGTAATTTAATGATGGTAGGCATTTCTGTGTCTTATGTCTAATACCCCCCCTTTTTTTTTTTTGCAGTTAGGATGTGACTCTGAGCCTGTGCCTTACATGTATATTTGCTGTTGACCACCAGAACCAGTGGGAGTTGGGGAGGGTCCATTTGGCTTTACTATACTAGCAAAGAGATGGCACAAAAAGAATTAAGACCAAGCCAGGGGTATAAGCAGTGTGTAGCACCATAGTCCTGGCATGCAGGAAGCCTGAGTTTGATCCCAAGCACCACCAGGAGTAACCTCATATACACTGAACTTGGAGTAGCCTCCAAGCACTGATAGGTGTCACACAAAACAACAGAAAGAAGGTACGTAAAGATCCTGTTTCTCCTCTTAAAGTGCAAACACTGGAGGGGGGTGTGGGGGGGTAAGTATACACTGCTAATGTCAGTGTTGGGAAGGAGCTCTCCTAAGCTGGGTGCCAGGAACACTATAGCCCCATGAGAAAAGGACTGAAAGGTCACTGAGAAAAAGGCACTTGTGGTCTGACATGGCATCTTAATCTTTCTGCAATATACATTTGCTAGATATTTGGAAACTCTTTGAGTTTAGGCGTTGACCTTAGCACTGGGTAATCTGCAATAAAAAGGATGGAAATTGCATAAAATTGAGGGCCCAGTGTTCTAGTGGGATTTGGAGCCTTCCCTGAATTGGTTAACAATTATTTGATATGTATTTATTATGATCTCAACCAATAAAAAGATACTTTTGTCCGGTTAACATATAATCACCTCCCCAACTAAACCAACTTTATGTGCAAAGGATATGTTTACCTCTGTTGTAATTCCTGAAAGAAATGTGTGTTAAATGCCTGCAATTGCTACAATCAGGAGACACGAGTCTATTCTGCAGGTGACAGACCAGACTGAGTGAAATATCAAGCTGACCTGGGATTCCAGATAACCCAGCACTTACCAAAAGTTCGGTGGAGATTCTCTGAAAAAAAAAACAGAGTTGGGTCACACTGGTGGTGTGGAATACTAAATGCCTGAAACAACTATATAATGAACAACTTTGTAAATCAGGGTGTTTTTAATAAAAGCAGTTTTTTTAATTAATAAAAAGAACAGAGACTTAGTAAGAGGCCAGAGAGATAGTATAGTGGGTAGGATACATGCTTTGCACCTAGTCAACCCAGGTTTGGTTCTGGGCACCCGAAACTCACTAGGAGTGATACCTTGAGCACAGAGACTTAGAGCACTCAGAGGAAACTTTTTTTCTCTGTGCCTTTGTTATCCATTCTAAATGAGACCAGAGCAGGAAGGAAAGTAATAGGATTTTACTTCCATTCTGACAGAAGAAAATGAGAATGAAAATATATACAACTTTTGACAGGTTGTAAAAAAAAATGAGGTTCCCATCTGAAGGCAACAGAGGGCGGTGGTACAGCAGAGATAGTCTATGAAACAAGAACGGAACAAAGCAAGAGGCATGTGTGTGGGAAGGTGCCTGGAACTTACCTATCTCTGCTCGAAGTTTTCCTAAAACAGAAATAAGCAACATCTTTAGTTCCTATTTTGGCACTAGAATTGGGCCCTTCCAATATCAAAAACTCTGGGCCTTTGTGCAGAATGTTTCTCTGCAGACATCCTTGGTCAATTGGGAAGATCACTAGATTTGAACCCAAGCATTCAGATTTTCCCCCTGGTATTGCCTGGATTAAATTTTGGGATAACAGACATGGGAAACCTCAGTAAACAATTCCAAACTAAGATGTTATTTCCTACCCATGCTTAGCTCAGCAATTGGTGGTTCTCAGTTCTCAATTTGCAGTTCCACTCCACCCTGCTGGTTTGTCACTGCAATTTCAAAGGCCACTTTCCATCTGAATAAGTGAACAATACATTTAGCTCCTTAGTGGCTGTATTGTTACTAGACACTTTACACAACAGTGACCTCTTCACAATGTAGGAGGGAGGTTGTGTAATCTATTTCAAACAGCAGACAATTGCAACTTGGAGACTTTAAGTCAGTGTCTGAGCTGGATTCAGGTTCAGATTGTCGGAACTACTCCATCCACCAGCATCTTTTTACTTAGCTATGGGAACTGAAGGATTTTTTTTTTTTTTACCTGCAAGAAGTAGAATATTTGTTAGGGAGAAGGTAGGGAGACACTGACACAAAAGAGAAGCTCCAGAGAGCTAGTATAGAGGGTTTGGGTGTTTAATTTGTTTTTTAATCTTTTTTTTTTCAAACTCCTGTCCGCTGATTTCAATAGATGGCAGTGAGGAAGCTGCTTTACTACCCTTACCCAGGTCAGGCCTACAAATGGTTTAGGACCATGAACCTGTGATATATGACAGGTTAGGGGCAACCGCCTTTCCGGCAGCACCCTGATTCCTGAGAGGGAGTGGCTTTCCGAACTGATCCTGATGCTTGGGGGGTGGGGGGAGAGAAGAGGGAACCAACTATGCAAACCAATCATGGCACTGAGTTGTAGACGATTTCTGATTTAGAGGCACTCAGTCATTATCCCAGATGGTAGCTTCGCCCTATTGCACAAAGTATTATATTGCACAAAGTAATATAGAGGTTAAGGAACTTGTCCAGTTTGATTCCCTACACCACATATGGTTCCCTGAGCACTGCAAGGAATGATCCCTGAATACAGAGTGCACAGCCAGACGTGGCTTAACTTCACCAATATCAGGACATGAGCTGTCTTAAGAATTTTTTAACCCCTATTAATTTATGAGAGATTTTCACTCAGAATGTCTAACCCTCATACTAGTCTAGACATGTATGACGCTGAAGTCCACACTTCCAGTTACGTGATGCTGCTAGACTTGGCACTGCGGACAGAAACTGCAGGGTTGGGCCTGGGCTCTGCCATTCACAAACTGTGAGGCTTGAGTCAGTCAATGAACTAGACCAACCTCAGGTGCCTCTTCTTTAAAATGAGGCCATCATATGTCCTAATTCATAAGGAAAATTGTCCTATTATATAATTAGGTAAGATGTAAAAGTCATAGACTACTGAACCCAGAAGTCACTCAATGTTAGCTGACCAAGCTCTAAGGAACCAGGTTATTTCAAGGGAGGTTTCCCAAATCATCCATCCTTCTGCTTTTACCTCTGAGTCTGTGCTGCAAGCAGAGGAAGACAAGGCCCACAGTGATCTGCAGAAGGAGCACAGGTGAGACCGCAATGAGAACCAGCACTGCAGGATTTATCCAGTAGAAAAGATCTGAAAAAGAGTCAGCATATCCTCAACCCAGTGCAGGGTAAGAGGTTCAATAAATTGTAAATAGGTAATAAATATCACCAAAATTTAAAGAATATGGTGCAGAAGGGGTTGGTGAGATCATACAGCAGCTAGGGTGTTTACCTTGCATGCGGCTGACCGAGATTAGGTCCCCAGCATCCCATACAGTCCCCTGAGCACTGCCAGGAATAACTCCATGAGTGCAGAGCCAGGAGTAAACCCTGAGCATCAAATAAAAAAAGATTTTTAAAAGAAAAGTAGATTCCCAGAGAGAGTTGGTGACTTAGAATAACAGAGGCCAACTCACAGAGTCAAGAATGGACTGCCTCTTCCCATCTCCCGACCCTTCCGGTATCCTGGTAGTCACACCAACAAACTACCTCCAGGCGCCATTTAAGCGTATTAATGGCCATGACCCAGAGACTTAGAAATGAATCTCAGAAGAGAGCAGCACACTACAGAGATGTTTCTGGACCCCACTTATTTAAAAATTTAGAATTCCAGGAGTACTTGGCTGCTTTCATGACCACATGACATCCCATACTATTCATAACAAGCAATAGAAAATAAATTATTTAGTATCTGCCTGTGGGGCAGGCTTGAGTGGTGGTGGGAAAATTCAAAATAGAGGTGGTGGGATTGTGTTGAAATATTGAATGTAATCAATTATTGTGAACAAGTTTATGAAAATAAAATTGAAAAATTAAGGAAAAGTAATAACAGAGACCAAGGTTGCATTTTGAGCAATCTTTACAGAGTTTTGGAAAAGCAGCTAAGGCGCATATGCTGCCCAAACCCATGTGCTGCTTGTGTCCATGTGTCATGGCTGAATAAATGTGGTTCCCAAGTACATGTGTTCCTTGCATCTCCCCTCTTGAGATGTGTACTTTCATAATTCCATACTTAGTGCTGGGAATCTCTCCACCTTTGGAGAAGCCGCGTTCTCTCTAGAGCACATTACTCTCTCCCTCCCTCCCCCACCTTTCCCCTATCCTCAAAAACCTGTTTTTATTTCCAAAAAAATAAAATCTGTTTTCACTTCAAAAAAAAAAAACATAGCTAAGGCACAAAGTTCTGGTTCTTAAGGACATGTGGGTACACAAATTCTGAGCTGAGGAGTAACAATACCTAATTTACTGACAGCAGGAATAGAGAAAGGAGGAAGGGAGGACAGTTAAGAGAAAGTAAAAAGCAGCATAAGGGATCAGGGATGAAGCTCAGAGGTAGAGCACTTGCCTTGTATGTGGGAGGAGTTGGGTTTGATCCCTGGCATCACAAAAATTTATTTACTTTTTATCTATTTTGGTTTATGAGCTACAACCAGTAGTGCGCAGGGGTTATTCCTGGCTTGGCACTCAGGAATTACTCCTGATAGTATTCGGGGGATGATATGGGTTGAACCCCGGTCAACCTCTTGCAAGGCAAATACTCTTCCCACTGTACTATCTCTTCAATCCCAAGAAATAAAATAAGCAGATAAACCTCAAGTAGGGCCATAATGAAAAGATAGGAATTCATGGGACCCATGAACATAAATAAGAATAAAATACATATTTGGTCCTGAAATCTACTATTTTACTTTTGGATAAGAGGAAACCAGTACAGAATTATTTGAAATTTATTTCCCAGCTTGTGAGAGGGTAAGTGGGGGTAGTGGTGATCCCTATGTCATTTGAAGAACACTTTTGTTTTGGTTTTTTTTGTAGGGAGGGGGGCTGGATCCACACCCAGAAATGCTCAGGGCTTATTCCTGATTCTGCAGTAAGAAACTACTACTGGTGGTGCTCAGGGAACCATATAGGGTGCAGGGACAGGACCAGACTTGGCTGTGTGCAAGGCAAGTGCCCTACTGCTATACTTTTGCTCTCATTCCATGTAAAACACTTTTAAAGGAGGTCGAAATATGGAAACGAATTCCAAGGAAAAGTTTCTTCAGAGGCACTTTTTAGTTCCTTTCCTATTCTTTTTTAAGGAATGTGCCGGAGGAGGCAGTTACTGAGCAAGCAAGTTTCTGAGCTAGGAGAAAAATCTGCAAGCTGGAGATAACTTCCTTGTAGGTAAAAATATACCAATAAAAAGAGTTTAATGGGGGTGGGCGGGAATTCAGCGGAATAGTACAGGGGTTAATCCAGGTGCTGATCCTGGTACCGTATATCACCAGAACATGGCCAGGAATGATTCCTGAACACAGATCCAGAAATAAACCCTGAGCATGGCAGGGTGTGGCTCAACAACAAGCAAACAAAAGTTGAATGAAAAACATTCAGTGATATAGGAAGAAGATATGTTCATACTCCCGTAATCTGACTCTAGAAAGAGTGCTTTGTTATGTAATGTTATGTAATCTTCTTTCCCACAACTGCAACAAAGTCGCAAGGAGATACAAAAGAGATCCCATTGTCTATTAAAGTTTAGGTCTGTGATTTCAGTGTTGTTGACTCTGTGGTTTGGATATTTAGCTCTATCATTCCTTAACAACAGATCAGTGGATCATGAAGTTGTGCTACATGTACACAATGGAATACCATGCATCTGTAAGAAATGATGAAATCATGAAATTTGCTACAACAGGGATGGAACTAGAAGATAACATGTTAAATGAAGTATGCCAGAAGATGAAGGACAGCGGATGACATCACATATATGTGGTATTTAAACTAACTGGATAAGGAAAGGCAATGGTTTAAAGAGGGGATGCCTAGACCACCCTTGGTCCCAGAATATAAAAATAGAAGAAATAGAGTGAAGGGGCAGGAGAGAAGAGATAGGTGAGAAGCAATGGGGCAGGGGTCAAGGGGATTAAAGTATATTGGTGATGTTAAGGAATGATAGAATTAAAAACCCAATGAATAAGTTAAATGCCAAAAACAGTAGATTCTAAGTAGAGAGCTACCACATTTCACCACACATCATTACTAACACACAATCATCACATTCTATTTTTTCAGTAACACTGTCACAGGTTTTTATGTCTTGTCACAAAATAATCACATCTTATATTTTTGCAAAAGATGATTGACATAAAATCTGTGAAGAGCATGCAATGAAATGTGGCATGTAGAAATAAATATACATACATTAAGTATGCTATTTACATACTTAAATAAAATTTATTTTTCATAATTAAAAAAAGTAATTTAAAAAAAAAAAGCTGTTCCTCGCCGGGGTCCCTTGGAGGGGAGCGGGTTGAGCTTTCCTCCCCGCCCCGACCAGGGCTCCGGCAGCAGAAGACCTCCAGGACCAGCCACCACCATGCCGAGACCACTCTCCGCACACATGAAGGTACTGGCAGAGGGACAAAGCCACGCGGGTTCCGGGGCCGAGATCTCCAAGCCTACTCGGATTGGAGTCGAGCATCCTCCACCCAGATCCTCCAAATTCCAGTAGGCAGGGGTCACACCCACCACCTGGCCCCCTGGCGCCGTGTAATCCCATCAGCGGCCAAGACTCAGAGACTATAAAATCCAGCTCCCGGAACTGTCGGCCGCGCGACATCAGGACATCTTTTTATGACATCTTATTATCTCATTCCTACTTTGGATGAACTGGCAGGTTACCGAATGTAGCCTGCCCACAGGGCAGAGTCTGGCAAACTCCCCATGGCGTACCAAATATGCCAAATACCAGTAACAATGATGGGTCTCATTCTCCTAAAGAGCCTTGAATATAATCTCAGGGCTAGGATGAAAGAGATGTTACTGGGGCCTGCTCGAGGCAATCGACAAATAACAGGATGATGAATGAATGAATGAAAAAAAAAGTAATCCCATTGTGCAGCATTTGTTTTTGTTTTTGTTTTTTAATTTTTATTAGTGAAACACCATGAGGTACAGTTGTAGACTTACAAATTTTTGTGCTTGGGTTTCAGTTATACAGTGATAGAGGACCCATCCCTCCACCAGTGCCCATTCTCCACCATCACTGATCCCAGTATCCCTCCCACCCCCACCCCACCCCCATCCCACCCTGCCTCTATGGCAGAGCATTCCTTTTTGCTCTCTCTCTCCTTTTGGGTGCTGTGGTTTGCAAAAGAGGCATTGAATGGCAATCATGTTCTGTCTATAGTCTACTTTCAGCATGCATCTCCCATCCTGGGAGGATTCTCCCAACACCCTTTATTTGGTGCTCCCTTCTCTTATCTGAGCTGCCTTTTCCCCTAGCATGTGCGGCTGGCCTCCAAACCATGGAGTAAACCTCCTGGTACTTATCTTGGCTATTCTTGGGTATTAGTCTCCTATTCTGTTACTTTATGTTCCTCAGATGAATGCAGTCTTTCTATGTCTGTCCCTCTCTTTCTGACTCATTTTGCTTAGCATGATACTTTCCATGTAGTACCACTTGTATGTAAATTTCATGACTTCATCTTTTCTAACAGCTACATAGTACTGCATTGTGTAGATGTACCAAAGTTTCTTTAGCCATTCATCAGTTCTTGGAAAAAACTTAGGTTTTTTCCAGATTCTAGCTATTGTAAACAGTGCCATTGTGCAGCATTTGAAGTGTGGTGTTTGAGCTCTAGCTGAGGAGGAGGAAAGAAAGCAAAATCACCCGAGGCTCAAATCCTCTGAACTGTCTTTCAATTCAATAGTAATTAACTTTCAAAGCTTCCCCTCTATCTACTTCACCTTATTCATATCTTAATATCCTTGTGCATATTTTAACATCTTGTCCTGGGATGTTAAAAAAACATACAAGAAATTTCAAAATCAGTCATCACAGGAAACATCAAAATAAAATTCTGGAGTAAGAATGGAAGTGGTTAAAATTGATAGTGAACACCAGAGAGATAGTAGAAGGGTTAAGGCGCTTAGCTTGCATGTAGTCAAGACCTTTTAGATCCCCTGCACCTCATCAGGTCCTTCAAGCACCACCAGGAATGGTTCTGGAGCAGAGAGCCAAAAGTAAGTCCTGATCATTGCTCTGGATGGGGCCCAACACCACACCCCAAATAAAACTATAGTGAGTTCATCCTTTCTATAATCTAATGAAGACATTTGTTTTTACTTGATTATTCACTTAGACTACTAAATACATATATATATATATATATTTCAGTAGTCTTCCTCATCTGACAAACCACCATGAACACCAATTAAGGAATATTTATTGTAATAAAATTTTATCAAGAAAATATTCTTCCTAATTGATCAAATAAGCAAAGACATTGCAAAGCAAAACAAAAAGGACAAACATGCTCAGGATCTTTGACTAACTTTCTGGTTATTCATATTTCTGTGAAAAGCAGAAAATAATTGGAAGTCTATTTTTTGGGGGAGGTGTTTTTGGGGAGACAGCCAGCTATACTCAGGACTTACTCCTGATTCTGTACTCAGGGACCACTCCTGACAGGCCTTGGTGAGCATAATAGGTACCAGGAATTGAACATGGGTTGTACATGAGCAAGGCAAGCACTTTACCTGCTGTATTATCTCTCTAGCACCTTAATTATTTTATATTATTCTGCCTCCATTTATTAATTTTTCTAGCTTGGGTCTTTCAACAAACGCCCATGAACATATGAATTCTCATGTACTGAGGTGAGTATTTCTATGGCATTGATTTCTAATCATGAGATGTTTTGGTTGAAGATTTCCTTTCAGCTGAGACAATAATTTGAGTTTCAAAGGGAACATGTAAAAAAGTAAACTCAGACCTCTTTCTAACACCATGCACAAAAGTAAAATTAAAATGGATTAGACTTTGATATCAGACCTACGTACCCATAAGGTACATAGAGGAAAACGTAGGCAGAACTCTTCATGACATTGAAGCTAAGGGCATTTTCAAGGATGAAACACAACTGACCAAGCAAGTGGAAGCAAAGATAAACAAATGGGACTATTAAACTAAGAAGCTTCTGCACCTCAAAGGATACAAAGACAGTCCATGGAATGGGAAAAGTTATTTACCCAGCACTTATCTGATAAGGGGTTGATATCCAAGATATAAAAGGCGTTAGTAGACCTTTATAAGAAAAAAACTCCAACCCCATCAAAAAAGGGGAGAAGAGATGAGCAGAAACTTTCTCAAAGAAGAATACAAATGGCCAAAAGGCACATAAATTCCACAACCCAAAATCTCTGCTATGCACCCACCAGGAGTAATTCCTGAGTGCTGAGCCAAAGTAAGCAAAAAAAAAAAAAAAAAGATGGACAGGACAAGGAAAACTACAGATTATGGCTGAGAGAAATGAAGGAAGTACATGGGAGATTCCATTATACTGAGCGTTGAGAAGAATAAGAGTTGAAAGAATAAAATTTTTCCTCAAGTTAATCTCTAGAGTGAATGAATTTCCAATGAAAAAATTTTGTGGTTTAAAAAAAATCTCTGCTATGTCACTGGTCAGACTCCACCGTCTCAGGACAGACCTCATGCATGGAGGTATAATCTGCTGAAAATTTTGGTATAAGGGTTGTATGATTGAAATTTCCAGGTTTTCTTGAGGTCAGAATGGGCTCTCCCCACCCACCACCTCCCTGTACTTCTGGAAGCCTTGGCAGTCACGTCCACATCCCAAAGCTGCCATCCAGTTAAAATAAACTACTCCAGCCTTACTTTCCCTATAAAAATACTGAATGCCCTGCACAGACATGATGCTAGTAACTGTATTGCAAATCATAATGTACACGAGGAGAGAGAGGCAAAAGACAAGTGTCTGCCACAGATGCAGGCTGTGGGGAAGGGGTATTGTGGGGTAGTGGGAGGGGAACAGGGGGCATTTGTGGTGGGAAATGTACACTGGGTAAGGGATGGGTGTTGGATCATTGTACAACTGGAACCCAATCATGAACAGCTTTGTAATGGTCTATTTCAAGGATATTCAATTTTTAAATAGGCACATGAAAAAAATGCTTTACATCACTAATCATTACTGGCACATGTCAAAATGAACAAGATCAACCAGTGCTGGTGTTTTACTTTTGGAAAACAATGTGGACATTCCCCAAAAAAGGAGAAATTGAAATTTCATATGACCCAGCAATGCCAATCCTGGAAATATACACAATGAAGAAAAGCTGTTGCACTTATATGTTCACTGAAGTACTATTCACAATGGCCAGAATCTGGAAACAACCCAAGTGCCCAAGAACAGATGTATGGATAAAGACACTTTGGTAAAAGAAAAGAGAGAGAACAAGGGGGAATGCCCTGCCTCAAAGGCAGGTTGGGATGGGGGTATGGGGGGTGGGAGGGATGCTGGGACCCGTGGTGGTGGAGGATGGGCACTGGTGGAGGGATGGGTACTTGATCATTGTATAACTGAAACCCAAGCACAAAAATTGTAAGTCTATATCTGTACCTCATGGTGTTTCACTAATAAAAAAAATTAAAAAATAAAATAAAAATAGATAAAAATAAAAGGAACATTCTCTGAAAAAAAAAAGAAACTTTGGTACATCTACACAATGGAATACTACACAGCCATTAGGAAAAAATAAGTCATGAAATTTTCTTGTACATGGATGGATATGAAGTGTATCATATTGAGTCAAATAAGTCAGAGGGAGAGGGACAGATATAGAATGATTGTACTCATTGGTGAGATAAAAGAAAAAAAAACATAGTGTGGGAGTACTATCCAAAGAGAAACGAGGGCCAGCAGAGTGGTCCATGATAGGAAGCTTGACACAAGGTATTGGACAGAAAAGAAACCACTATGACAGTGAGAGTTGGAATTGATCATTCTGAACAAGAACTGATTGCTGAGAGGATTTAAAGTAATATTCATGATACCTTTTCAGTAATAGTGTTGCAAACCATAGTGCCTGAAAAGGGGGGGGGGGGTGGTGAGGAAGGAGGGAGGAGAGAAAGAAGAAAAGAGTCTACCATAGAGGCAGTCTACCATAGAGGCAAAGCCCTGGGGGAACATTGGGGACAGGAAATTTACACTGGGGAAGGGATAGGCATTGGAACATTGCATGATTAAAACTCAATCACGAACAACTTTGTAATTGTGTACACAGTGAATCAATTTAAAAAGTTTTTTAAGTCTCAAAGGGAGATTTTGGGGACCAGAGTAAACTCTGAGCACAGTGATGTGACCCAAAAGATCCAAACCAAACCAATCAACCAACCAGTCAAACAAAAACCAACAATTCAAAGGGAGGTCTTGGTCACCCAGAAGATAATATCTAGTATTATATGCTGCTACTTACCTTCCACTTTCAGTTCCATTGCTGCCTCCTCTTGGTAAGCATGATCTCTGAAGAAGCAAGTGAAACCTCCTTCATCAATGAGTCTAACATTCCGTAGGCGGAGAGTCACCTTTCCTTCACCAATGGCCTCTTTGAGCAGCTCTGTCCGGCCACGATATTCAGGGGCCTGTTCTCCATCTTGATCCTTGCCATTTCGGTAGAGATGAACCACCCTAGAGAAAGGGGGTCGATACCAACCCACCTCCATGCCTGTGGCATTCTTTCCAGGAGATATGCGACATGGTAATTCCACTTCATCCCCCACAACAGCTCGGATTGGGTGCTTTGGTCCTATTACTCTGAACTGTCCTGTCCAAGATATCAAAATACTGAGTATCAGAGGGAACACTGACAAACAAGTCTATTATGAGAACGGACGTTCCAATATAGGGAAGGAAGAAGGCACTCAATTTTTTCCTTACTTCTTTTTTATTCATTGCAAACTTTTAAATGAAACTTTGACTAACATTTTATAGAAGCAGGGAAAGTTCAATTTATATATCCACCATGAACACACCACCTGAGAAATATTTGCTATATAGGGTTTGATAAATTTGATCAGGAATACTCTTCTTGACAAATAAAGACATTTCAAGACAAATAAGGGGTAAATATAAAATATATACAATATATTTTAATGTAATAAGGAATATATATATAGTCTTGAAAGAATGTTATATTGAACTTGGTAGTTACTGCTCACTTTTCTTCACTTTTCTACCAACTTTATCTATCTTTGATTCTGCTGCTTGATCTAGACCCTACATGTCGACTAGCTCTTGTCACTTAATTCTCCCAGGGGACTCTGTTTGAATTTGGTGGAACACATCCTTAATGTCCCCTTAAAGGGTTTGCACTTATCACTTCTTCACCACTTTTTTCCCCTCAGTGCTTGTTCACAGTCTGTTCCCAAATTCTCCACCAAGATTTTCCACACTGTAGCTTTATTTCCTTCTGCTTTCCTCCTGTACCTTTAGCCCTACTATAGACCCAGAAACATCCTGTACATACATGTTCTCAGACTTTTTTTCCTGTAGTGTATGTTTCCTCAGTCAAACTTGGAGCTACCAGAAGATAGAGCTGTTTTCTTCATTATAACTGCAAAGATTTCTCAAGCAGGTGTGTATAATGGGCTTCTCTGTCAATTAGATTGTTCCCTAATTGGGGAAAATGCCTCCTGTTTCTTTTATTTTTTTCCCCCCTGTACTTGAGAGCAGGACTTCTCTATAAAAAACTTATTAGTGATCTTCTCTACCTTGGAGCTACACATATCAATCTGAGATGTGTGCTTTTAGATCTCTACCCTCTGAGCTTCTTCCTTGAACACAAAACTCTCTGTCTTTCCTATTTCTCTAAACAAAACTATTCTACTTTCATGCGCCAGAGAGATGGTACAGTGGGACAGGTGCTTGCCTTGCAATTAGTCAACTGGGTTTTATCCACAGCACCCTGTATGGTCACTCAAGCCCTTCCAGAAGTGATCCCTGGAGGATTGCTGGATGTAGTTGGCATGCACCACACACACACACACACACACACACACACACACACACACACACAGGCACACACACATTTTTCTTCAAAGAAAAAATTTTCTATTGCTTGATCACTAGGAAAGAGCCCTCAGACATGACTAGAAACTGCAATCTAACATATATATATATATATATCAACATTTACTGTGAAACAGTACCACTAAACAGTCACTACTAAGCGTCTTGGAATATGTGTTATGGTTTATAAACATCATTCATTGAACCCTGGTGACAGTTCCAAGAGATTGTTACTATATCCCCAATTGACAGAAATTTCTAGAAACCAAACCTGGAACAGTAGAAAATAACTAGTACAAGGAAAAGGTCATAAGGTCATGTTGTTGAGCTTGAGAACCAAAATTGTTGGGTTCTATTCTGAAGGTTATAGGGAGGCTCAGGAAATTTCTGAGGAGGGGAGTCCTGTCAACACTCCTGTGTTTTGGAAAGATAACTTGCTTAGTAATTTGAGGATAGACTGAAGGGAGTAATCCTGGGGTAGCTAGACTTTCTCTTCTCAGAGTCCTCCAAAGCAGGAATAAAGATTAAACCTTACCTGCAGAGCTGAAAGACAATTGGAGGAGGAGGAGGAAGAGGAGGAGGAAGAGGAAAGGAAGACAGCTGGTCCGAGAGGAGCTCACCAAACGTGCCATCTCCACAGTTGCTGTGGACAAAGAGTCCCTACATCAGGGTCAGGCTAAGCAGAGGGATTGGGGTACATGTCTCCAACTGCTGAAAAAAAATCTGAGGGTAGGTTATGGGAGGGCTATGCTGCCTGGACCTGCCTCCTGCCAGTCCTGCTGCAGCTGCTCTAGGAAGAACAGACCCACGTCATCCTTGCTGGGCATTTACACAAAAGGGCTACAGACTCAGGGGATGACCAGGGTTTGCCTTCCCCACCCCCCAGAGCTATGGAGCAGAGGCTGCCTGGTACTGGTCTCCCTCCCCCACTCCCTTTGCCTCGAAGCCTTTGAAAGGTCATCTAGGATTTAATCAGTTGGGATCACTAACTTGTTAGACTTTCTGATGAGGTTTGTCCCAGTAATCTTTTTGTTTGTTTGTTTGTTTGTTTGTTTTGGGGTTGCACCTGTCCGTGTTCAGGGACCACTCGGGGTGGCAGTGATCCAGAATTGAACCTGAGTCAGTCATGTGCAAGATAAGCACCTTACCTACTGTACTATCTCTCCAGCACCTGTCCAAGTAATCTTTTTTTGGGGGGAGGGCACACCTGGCAGTGCTCAGGGATCACTCCTGGTGGGTCTTGAGGGACCATATTAGGATGCTGTGAATCAAACCTGGGTTGGCCATATGCAAGCCAAATGCTCTACCCACTGTACTATTGCTCTGACCCCTGTTCATATAGTTTTTAAGATTATTTCAACACTGTTCTTCTTAGCCGAGAGGAGGTATTATTTCTTATTTAAAAAAAATAGAGTGGGGGGGCTGGAGTGATAGCACAGCGGGTAGGGTGTTTGCCTTGCACGCAGCCGACCCGGGTTTGATTCCCAGCATCCCATATGGTCCCCCGAGCACCGCTAGGAGTGATTCCTGAGTGCAGAGCCAGGAGTAACCCCTGTGCAATGTCCGGGTGTGGACCCCCCCAAAAAAAGAGTCAATAAAGACAGAGTACAGTGAGTAAGGAGATTATTTTGCATGTGTTTCACCAGGGGTTCAATCATCAGGCACTTCCTCACATCCCTTGGAGTGATCCCAAAGCCCAAGGGTTTGAGCACTGCTGAATGTAATTCAAAATTTTTTAAAAAAAGAAATGAAAGATCATTTAAACTTCCTCCTATTTCTACTGTTCATAACTGTCATTACTGGGAAATTCTTCTTAAATGTCTAACTTCCATCTCCTCACTGCTAATCTAAACTCCCTTATGTTCAGATATGTTGGGCTTAGTTAAAGAATACTTTTAGGAAAGTTGAGTTAAGCATCATGAATTGAAGCCACTGGTGCTCAGAGAAGCATGCATACAAAATGAACATTTTTCTCAAACTCAGTTGCACACTGAGGTCAGTGTCAATCCTAGTATGATTTTATTTTTAAGGATTGTCTTGGGTTACAACTGGTGATTCTTAGGACTTTCTCTTGGCTCTGTGACTCTTTGCAGTGCTCAGTGACCATATGCAGTGCCAGCGATCAACTGGGGTCAAGCTGCATGCAAGGCAAGGGCTTTGGCCCCTCTACTACCTCTCTGGCCATTCAATACCAAGTTAAAAAGATGTTTCCCCATTCTATAATAGAGTTAAAGTTAGTCAGAAAACTTAAACCATGCTACCAACACTAATCATTAACTACAAGAAGGCATTAAAATTAAAATTAAGGCGCATACACTGCCCGAGCCCATGTGCTGCTTATGACCATGTGGCCGAGCACATGTGGCACCTGAGCACGTGTGTTGCCTGCATCTCCCCTCTTGAGGTGTGTAATTTCATGCTTTCATGCCTAATGGTGGGATGTGTGTAGGGCTTCTCTCCACACTTGGAGAAGCTTGGAGAACCCACGTTCTCTCTTGAGGGTGTTACTCTCTCTCTCTCTCTCATTCTCCTCCCTCTCCACACCTTCTAAAGCCCTCCAAATAAAATCTATTTACTTCAAAAAAATTTAAATTAAGGGACCAGACCAAAACTCTACCCCTAATATATAAATTAAAGTGAAATTCAGTTTAAAATTTAAATCCTTGGTTGCTAGAGCCATGTTTCAAATGCTTAGTGTGACTTTTACCTAGTAATCATTGGATAGCCCAATATAGATAATGTTGCTGGCAGGGAGAGGGGATCCTGCTAATGTATATTGGTAAAAACTTTGTCTGTAACCTAAGCCAGGCCAAAGGCATTGAAGGCCTTTGAGACAAAAGACCTATCTCAGAAGCTACATGAAATAGTTGAGGTGCACATTTCCGGGATCAGGTGCATGAGTGTTCCTTGAAAGGAGAGGTGGCCAGACCCCTTTGAAGGAGAGGACTCACCACTAGAAAAAAAAAACACATGAAAACTATCAAAATAAGACCATTAACAGCTCCAAGCTACACTTTGGCTGGCAGCCACCCTATCAATGAACTTTGTGGGTGACAGTTTGGGAAAAGTATATATGAACTAAATTGTCAGAGAAAGAGGTATGTACTTTCCCACATCTCTTTTTGAGATGTGTTCTTAGCCCTGTAGATGTTTCTTACTTTAGAGCACATTTTCCTGCTTGGGACGTGTAGGTTAGGTTCTTTTTACTCTGGAGAAGCCAATGTTCTCTCTCTCTCTCTCTCTCTCTCTTTCCTTCTTTCTCTCTCTCTTTCCCTTTGTTTTTGGGCTGCACGGGGCGATGCTCAGGGATTACTCTTTCCTCTGCACTGAAGCTCTGCACTTTTCGTGGTGCCGGGGATCGAACCCAAGTCAGCTGTGGGCAAAGCAAATGCCCCTAGTGTTCTCTCTTGAATGTGTATCTCTATCTTTCCCTCCCTTTACTTCCCAAAGGATGTGAACTTGTTTTACTTTGCTACCTATTTACTAAAATTATTTTCTGTGAGGAAAGGTGATAGGCCTGGAAAACCTGAGTAAGATTGAGCACTGACTTTCCTGAGAAGAGCAATTTCTTGCTCCAACCTGGGTACCAAGGCTTGCCAAGAAATTGGATGGCAGGGATTGTTTCCCATGACTTGTAGTCCCACTGATCTGGATTTTCATTTTTTTTAAAGGGTAGGGGCCAGAGAGGGAATATGATTTGTAAGGTGCCCGTCTTGCTTATGGATGACTCAATAAGATAGGGTGCTAGGAGCACCCCATCTGTTCCTTGAGCACCACCAAGAGTGACCACTGAGAACAGAGAAAGGAGTAATCCCTGAAGACTTCTAAGTATGTTTCACACACACACACACACACACACACACACACACACACACACAATCCAAAATAATACTTTGAAATCTCTCAACCATCTGAGACCATGTGTTTTTTTTCTGAATTGGTTTAAATATACACATATGCCACTAGAGGGAGCTTTTGAGAAAGGCACTTCAACTGAGGTTGAGGCCCTTCAACCCACTAACTTTATAAGGTTTTCTAAACAGTACTTAGAGCAGTTACTCATAACCCTTTGTTCATTTATCTATTAATTTTTTATTTTTATATTTATTTTTGGGGAACCACACCTGTTCCCAGAGCTTCCTCAGGGCTCAGTATTCAGTGGTAGTGCTCTGGGGACCATATGAGTGCCAGGTATTAAACTGAGTCAGTCATGTACAAGACAAGCACCTTACAAATCTCTGGTTCCCATCCTTTAAAACAAATAAATAATAACATTTACCTCGGAGATCTATATCATTCATATCATTCAGTACCTAAAAACAGTGGGTAGGGTGTTTGCCTTGCATGCAGCTGACCTGGTTTTGATTCCTCAGTCCCTCTTGGAGCTCCCGGCAAGCTACTGAGAGTATCCCACCCACATGGCAGAGCCTGGCAAGCTCCCCGTGGTGTATTCGATATGCCAAAACCAGTACAACAAGTCTCACTTTGGAGACGTTACTGGTGCCCGCTCGAGCAAATTGATGAACAACGAGAGGACAGTGCTACAGTGCTATTTGGGGGCCACACCTGGCAGTGCTCAGGGCTGATTCTTGGTTCTGTGTTCAGGGATTACTTTTGGTGTGCTCAGGGAAGCCATATGCAGTGTTGGGGACAGAATCAGGGTTAGATGAACACAAGGCAAGCACCTTAACTCCTGTACTATCTTTCAGGTCCCAGAAATTCCATTCTTAAATACCTATTTAAATACAAATTCAAAAACATGTATGCACACTATGCTTACTATTTTTATTGGGGGGGGGGGCACTCAGTGGCGCTCGGGAGTTAGATCTGGCTTTGCAGTCCTGGTGGTGCTTGGAGGACCATTTGGGATGCTGGGGATTGAATGTCGTTAGACTGTGTGCAAAGCAAATGCCCTGCTTGCTGTACTATCTTGCTGGCCCTTATAATTACTTAATATAGTAGCACTGTAGCACTGTCCTCCCGTTGCTCATCGATTTGCTCGAGTGGGCACCAGTAACGTCTCACAACAAATTGTGAGACTTGTTACTATTTTTGGCATATCAAATACGCCCCGGGGAGCGAGATAGTCTTGGTAGCTTGCTGGGCTCTCCGAGAGGGTCGGAGGGATCGAACCCGAGTTGGCCTCATGCAAGGCAAATGCCCTACTTGCTGTGCTATTTGTTTATAATAATCAAGGCATGGAAACAACTCTGTGATAGATGAGTGAAAAAGGATAGTAAGTGAATAATGAAGATATACAATGTGATACTACTAAGCTATAAAAAACGATTAAATCACAGAATTTCTTTAGAAGCTTTATTAATGACAGATGAGACATGATGAGATCCAAGTATAAAGTAACATTAAAAAAACTTTAATGTAATATACTTTAAATTCTAGAATTGGAAACATATGTACGTGAGAATAGGCATTTTATCATATTGTATTAAATGATTTTAATTTTCTTATTTACATGGATCAAAATCCTTAGTAATGAATTATTGGCGCTTACTGATTTATTTTCTGATCATTTTCAGCTTCCTAGCTTCCTTTCCACTTCCTAGTCAATTGCGTTTTCAGCCCAAATCCCTGGACCATCTTTCAAGGGAAGGACTCCCATCTGCCCGGCAACAGTGACGCCATCAGTTTCTCCACAGAGGATTGGTTGCTAGGAGACCTAGTGGCGCGGAATAACGCGCTGCAAGAGGCAAGGTAGGTTCCAGTTAGCCATGCCAGGGACGTTGAATAACCCCACAAGCAAATCCCTTTTGGCTTTTC